TTCGTGAAGAGCCCGACGTCGAAACTGTACGAGAGGAGTTCGTCGGGCTCTCCATCCCAAGTGAGAACGTCGAGGTGTAGTCCACCTGCGGCGCTGGCCGCTGCACCACCAGAAGACGTCCCACTCGCCACTGCCGTAGTCTAACGGCTCCGCTACCAATCTAATACGTGGGCTCCTCTGAGCCCGTCACGTCGTCGTCGAACCTGTGGTCAGGACACGGAGCACCTGATGCTCCAGAACATGTGCTGCGGCCAACCGCCGCTGCGAAGGGCGCAACTCGCCCTGTTGTCTAAAATCCCGCCCTCCCGCAACCGAGCCTCAAAGGCTGCGTGGAGGGCAACATGCTGGGCTGAACCCCTCACGCGATCTTCATCGCAATCAAAAAGATGGCCGCTGAACGGCCCAAGAGGCCCCCAAGACGGCCCCAAGGCCCCCAAGACGGCCCCAAGAGGCTTTTTTAAGACGCCCAAGATGGCCTCCAAGACGGCCCTGGAGCATTCCAAGAGGGCCCCAAGTCGGTTCAGAGGGGGCCCCCAAACGGCTTCCGACGGCGTCGGACGGGCCAAGGGCCCACCTAGACGGCCGAAGATGGCACTAAGATAGCCCAAGACGGCCCAAGAGGCCTCCAAGAGGGCCTCCAGGAAGGCCCGAAAAGGCCAAAATCATTGATTTCCCATTAATGTTCGAAGGATTTTGGCATTTGATTGTTGTTCGGCCTTCCGACGGCCCGAGACGGCCCAAGTGCCCCCAAAGATCGCCCAAGAGGCCCAAGACGGCACCAAGAGGCCCCCAAGACGGCCCAAGAGCCCTTGAAGACGTCCTCCAGGAAGGCCCGAAAGGGTCAAAATGGCCTCTAGACGGCCAAGATGACCTTCAAGATGCCCACGTGTTCCCCGAAGGCTTTCCGAACCGATTCGGGGAACACATGGTCCGATAGCTTGGCAGGTCTGGCCTCAACATTCGGCCACATAGGCGCTTCCAAAAAAGCAAGGGGCGGCGGTGATTCGCCGTAGGCGTCTTCGACATCTGCTACCAAGCACGGCAGCACAGCAACATCGTGGTCTTCCCATCTCCACCAAAGCTCAACCACAACAACCACCACGCGATGGGCCGTCCGGAAGCTCTTGTGGAGGTCAGGCGGCTGAGAAGGGTCTTCGTCCTCTGGGGCACAACGAAGCGAAAGAAGCGGCCAGAGGACTGGCATGCCTGCTTAGGGTATGCCTGTTGCTGGGTTGCCTGCTATCCCAAGGGCGCACCGATGCTGCCTCGTCACGGATGGAGGAGAGAAGCTGAGGAGGGGAGGTAGAGAACGGAAGGAAATGAGCACGTGCCGTGGAAGGCGCACTCCCGGTTCCAGTCCAACTCCGCAATCCTGCTCATGCTCTTACTCGGGCTCCAGTTCTGGATAGCAGATTGTACGATTCATTGTGACTGGCTACTCACATATCCTTACTCTTCACCCAAGCACCCCCCCCGACAACAAAAAACAAAAACATGCATCAAATCAACAATGGGCTTGCCCTGTTGAACATTGACGCTTTGTCGTCGACGTTGCAAGATGAGTGAATATCCAGAGATTGCCACGGTCCACATCGCGCGGATAAGCGAAATGTTGTTCCGGCCCTAGCGCCGCGCAAGCTTTTCCTGGAACATCCGTTCACGCCTGGGCGAGGCGCATGTTTCTAGCTTGCCACATCGTCGGGAGCGGAAGCACCCGAGGAAGAGAGAGAGAGAGGGAACAAAAAGACACAGCAACAGAAACGTCTCTGCGCCGCGCACATTGCTGTTCCGATATGTACCGTGCCCGCTTGGGCGCGGCGAGCGGGCTTTGCCCGCCAGACACAACGAAAATGGAGCTGAGCGGCACGTGGGGGATCACACGCCGTGAACGCCGTGTGCGAACCCACAGCTCCACACTATCGCGACCCGTCGACCTCCCGGCCAGCCACAGGCACGTTGGGCCTGGCGAAGAAGAGAAACTATATACGCATAAACTTCCGGAGGTCCGCAAGGATTCTTTGGATCGACACTGGGCACACCTGGCGGCGCTTCCCACGCCGCCCCGGGTGGTGGGGGAAGGGTCGAGCGCCGATCTAAGAAGTCCACAAAGACCAACGAAAGCTCACATGTATGCCGCTGCTCCTTCTGCGTCCAGATGGACTCGGGGTCTGAGTCGCGGCGGCCTGCCTGCCGTGCCCGCTCGGGCCAGCGCGTCCTGCGCCGCGTTCGCTCCGCGCAACGCCGAGACGATCTCCCCTGAAAGTTGCGTTCCCGTTTGTGCTTTCTACGGAGCTGGGCCTGTTCGTCGGTCTGGCGGCTGTGTGGTCGCCGCCACGTGGCTGCCTCGTCGCCGCCCGTCGCCTGGACATGCGCGTCGGGACCACCGCCTCGTGGTTGCCGTCGTCGCTCCGTCGCCGCCCCGTCGCCGCCTGTCGTCTGGGCTCGGGCTCGAGTGTTGCGTCCGCCGCCTTGTTGTCACCATCGCTGCCCAGTCGCCGCCTCGTCATCGCTCGTCGCTTTGCATTGCATTGCATTGCTTTGCTTTGCATTGTTTCGTATCACATAGACTGCGCCACATGGACTGCACGGCCTGGATTGCATCACTTTGACTGCACCACCTAGATTGAGCCGCATACCTTACAAGAAATCACTGTTTGGGGTCCAGGCTGGCGGCTAGCATCGATTCCTAGCAAAGTTGTCGGAAGCGTGGCCACCCGCAAGCGAACGAACGCATCCCACTTGCCAGATCGTGCACATGTCAGTCCCAATATTCGTGCTTGTCGACATTGGTCATATGTAATAGGGGCGCGGGTTGGACGGAGCGTAACCCGCTGGCTCGCTCGAAATGTCTCTATTGGCTCCTGGCTGCCCTTACTCCTACTGAGCTGGGACTGTTGCTAGCGCCGAAGCAACAGCGCCACTCCGAGGAAAGACTATTACTGAAGTTGCAGCGAGAGCATCACTCCAAGTCGAAAATGCGACGGGCGGTCAGGGAGGAGCAGAAATTCCGAGGTGGGATGGTTCACAGCGACGAGGCGAGACTGCCGCTCCGAGCTGGGAGCACGTCTGGCCCCGGAACGAGAGCGCCACATCTGGGCTGGGAAGAGTGCATGGCACTGAGGCGCGGGCACCACTCTGAGCCAGAAATGATCGGGCGCGGGCGAAAGAGAGGAGACCGCGCCACATGGAGTCGTGGCCGAGCTGGGCTCGTGCTCGGCGCAGAGGCAAGATCTGCGCGAGGACGCCGCTCTGGATTGAGTGCGACCTTGCGTTCAGGCGAGAGCACCACACAAACTGGCAACGCGGCCGGCGCAAGGACTATTCCAGGTCGGGCAGGGGCGGAGGAGACAAAACCCTCAGGTGGACTCGAGCCTCTGACCAAGAGATCAGTTCTCATCACGGACTCCATTGCTCAAGGGCAAAACTGCAAAACGTTGGGCGGCCGACTGGCAGCGGCGAGCGGAGGGGACCAGCAGCCCCCGTGCAAATGCGGATACGGAAGACACACTGCTGAGTCCTATAAGTTTGAGGGTTGCTAAAGGTGCCCCCTGATCCAAGTTGCACCCAGGTTTTCGCTCCATTTTGGAGCCCCTAGGGACCGCTGGGCCTCGTGAGGGGTAGTCTGGAGGCGTGGAGGCCTCCTTGGAAATCCTGGGGGCACCTTGGGCCAGGAGCACTCCAAGCAACACCCGAGAGTTCAATCGAAGCGCCGTCGAGAGAGCCACCCAGACAATCAGAGCAGTCCACACCGCAGGAGCTCCCCAGAAGCTCCCTCCACACAGCCGCCGCCTACCAGCCCCTGCGTGGGGTCCGCTTTCGGCGGCTGCGCTGGCACGCGGGGCTTCCAAAGGCCGGTACCCCCCACGAGAAGTTTTCGTATATTACAGGCGAACGGGCTGAGCCACCAGAAGAGGGAGTCGGAGGAGAAAAATCTGCTGAGCCCCCTCATGGGGGCCATCGGTCTGCACGGATGAATACGGGCAGCGACGAGGCGGCGACGAGGCGGCGACGGGGCGGCGACGGCCGGCACGGAACCGCCAGACCGACACCCAAGCCCAGGCGACGGGCGGCGACGGGGCGGCGACGGTCGGACTGAAACAGAGGCCCAGTTCCCTAGACCAGAAGTAAGAGCCCCTAAGTGCAAGCACTGTTTGGGGAACTATGGGTCCGCGATCCCGAGGCACCGATCCCTCCTAAAAGAGCTGTCGATCCACACTTCCGAAGCCACGATCTCATGTAAAGCACGGATCCACGCCGCCGAGGCCACGATCCCTCGCGAAACAAAAATCAAAACAGATCCGCGCTGCCCAGAGCAAAGACCTCTGCGAAAAAACATGGAACCGCGCTCCCGATGCCTCCTCGAGCCTTCGCGGAAGAAGCGTGGATCCGCGCTCCTGGGGCCAAGATCTCTCGAAAAACCTATGGGCCCGCGCTCCCGAGGCCACGAACAGAGCTGTGGACGTGCGATTCCGAGGCACCCATCCCTGGTAGAAGCTTGAGCCCGCGCTCCCAGCGGCAAGGTCTGCTGCAAAAACAGGATTGGTCCGCTCTTCGAACTCGCCAACCACCCAGCCAGCCTGCCAACCAACCGGCCGAGTCATCGAACCAGCCCATCAGACAACCAACTGCCCTGCCAACCGTCCATACAAACAACAAGCCGACCAGCTGAGGTACCAGCCTGCCAACCAATGAGCCCATCAACCAACCAACCCAATCGATCTAGCCACGAAGGCAATCACAGGGGGGCACGGCGGAAGAGGGCAAAGCCCTTCAGACGATCAAAAAGCCGCTGTGGCTGCCCGAAACGGAATGGGGACAACAGGACACGCAATGATGAGGACATCTGGAAGGATAGGAAAAAATGGCAGCGAAAGAAAACACATCAGCGGAAATCAAAGCTAATCGCATAGAAGCGTTGCCGTGACAACGAAAACGGTAAATGTGGAAGACTGTAATGTGAAAGAATAGAGGAGGAACTGAAGACTGCTCCCACACCGAGCCTTCTTGTGGCGCACGTAGTCCTTTCTGACTTTCATCTCTGGTTCCGCCGCCGGCAGTGGGATCTCTGGTTCGAGCTCTGCCGCCTCCTCCTCTGCACGCTCAGCCTCAGGAGGCGGCACCCTCCTCCGCGCCCCTGCCCTTATTCTGCCTCTTCCTCATTATCATCTGTTCCCTCCACTCCATATGTACCTCGTGGTTTTTCCATCCCGCCCATCCATCCTTCCTCCCTTTCACCTGCCGGCTTCAAACCCGTTCATGTCCCCATCCCGTGCCCACTCCACATTTTCCTCTCGTCGCGTCCCCTGGGAGTGCCTCCCCCTCGCGCCCCTCCCACCCTCATCCCTCACAAACCACGCCCGCGACTGTGGCACGACGCTGTTCCGACAAGCTGAACAGGAGGAGGAGGAGCATGAAGCAGAAACGAAACGAAACGAAACGAAACAAAACGAACCACCACATCAAACAGCTGTCCGGGCCTGCTAAGACCAGGTAGGTGAGGCCATGGCCTCATGTAGGCATGCAGACATGCGTAGGAAATGCGAGACATCCAGAAAGTTATGCATCTGCGCAACACACAAATTCATGACGGAGGAAGAGGAGGAGGAAGTCCTGTTTGTGAGTGTCGGCGAAGTGCTGATGCATGTGTGTCCGAGTGTCGACCACGTGGAGGTGTCTTGAGCGGAGCGGACCCAGGAAAGGTCGTTTGGCTTGCCCTGCTCTCTGGTTGGTGCGGGGGCTGGTTGCAGGTCGGGTCGGTGTTCTTGGAGGAAGCTGACGAGGTTGTCGTCCCAGCGTTTGCGCTGGCCGCCGTGGCGTCTCCAACCACGTTGGCGTGAGTTCTTTCCTGGATGCCAGTGGAGTGTTCGCTACGTCCATCTGGTGGGCTCGTGGTTAGCTACTGTGGATGCCATGCGCCACAGCCTCTGCCTGTGAATCAGATCCCAATGTTCAATGTGGTGGTGCTGCATGAGCTATTCCGCGCGCCGCGTTGCTCGCTGGATGTAATCGACCCACGGCTCCATCGCGTCCCCGTCATGTTTGTTGTCGTTGCTCTCGCTGCGTCGGTCCGTCGTGTCTCGTTGGGGCGTGTTGCTCTCTGCGTCGTCGCTGCTGCTGGTTTCTTGATGAGGTGTTTGGGTGGTCGTGCGGTCGTCCGCGTGGCACTGGGTGCTGGTCGTCGGGGTCGTTTGGCGGGTAACGCGTCGCCTTGATGTCCTGACAACCATGCAGAGCATGCGTCGTCGCGTTCGCCGCACAAAGGTTGGTAGAGAGGTTCCGTGAGCACCCACGTCTCTGCTCTGTAGAGTGATGCGGGTGTCACAAGCCGGAGGCGGTGTGCCAGCGGGTAGCGTTTGCTTCTCAGCTCCTGTTTGCGCGAAGTGAACGTTGCCCACGCTGCCCTCGTGCGGTGGTGGATTTCAGTCCCCATCGCGCCGCGGAAGCTGATGAGTTGACCCACGTAATTGATGTTGCCAGCGTGGGGGAAGATGTCGATGTTTCATGTCCTGATTGTGCACGGTGCGCGAACATGCCCTGCCAGTCCGTCTGGTCCGATTGCTGTGCATGTTGGTTTTGGAAGGGTGCAGCTCAAGTCCGTGAAGTCGCACTGCGCGCACGATGTCGTCGAGCATCGCGGTGAAGCGCGGTAGTGTGTCGCTTGTCAGGAGCACGTCGACGGAGAAGTGGAGGTTCGTGAGTGCGGAGGTGGTGTTGAATCCCAGCTGGTCTCCCTTGCCCTTCTTCCGCCATTCGGTGATTACTGGTGCAAGAATATGCCGTAGCACACTGTTGAAAACTAAGGAGCTGAGCGGATCGCCCTGCTGTGTTACCCGGAAGAGACTGAAGGACCTGCTGCTGACGTCAGTCTTGACCGTGGCCGTTTGTTCCTCGCACAGCTGTTGGATTAATGAGACGTATCATCGTTGGACGACATGCGCCCGAAGCGTTGCCCACATGCTAATGTGCTCGACTGTGTCAAAAGTTTATTTGAAGTCTAGCGCCGCTATCCACAAGTTCTGGTTCCATTCGTTCGCGCGCTCACGGAGAATGTGGAAAACGAGCAAGAAGTCGGGGGTCGAGTGTCCTGGCCTGAAGCCGGCCTGGTCTGCAGTTTGTCGGGAGTCGAGTGGTGGTTGGAGTCTGTTGTAGAAAGTCTGCTGAAAAGCTTGTGAAAGAATGGTATTGTGCATATAGGCCGATAGTTCTGCGGAAGCGTTAGGTCCCCACTTTTGGGAATGACTGTGACGACAGTGCTCTTCCAGCTGGATGACGTCGGAGCGTCGGACTGGATGATGGAGAAAAGCGCAGTGCAATTCGTCTGTGCCTTCTTTCAAGATTTCTGCTCGGAGGCCTTTGGTGCCTGGAGCTTTACCAAGCCGGAGCCCTCTTATCGCATTCTCCAACACTTTACCAGTGAAAGGTAGGGGGTCGTCGCCGCGTCGCTCTCGTTGCGTCGGCTTGGCCTTTATGCCGTATGGTAGACAGAAAGGGATGGTAACGAGAAAGGGGGGAGGAAACAGAAACGGGATGGTAACGAAAAAGGGGGAGGGAGGGAAAGGGAGCAGGACCCGGTTCCCCCGTCGTCAACGTGAACGTGTCCTGGCGAACACAAAAAGAACAGACCCGATTGCGCCCGCCACAGTTCCCCTGGTCGAGAAACCTGGCCCCCTCCATGCATCCCATTCTCACTCCCTCCGTCTGCCTCATATCCCCACTCCATATCCGCCCCCAGTCTCCTTTCACCTCGTCATCTCTCCCCTTCTCTCTCCCCCCATTCCCCTCCACATCCACTGACTCGAGCTGGGCTGAACAGTCGCGCAAGATCTGGCTCAGGCCGATTAGAGAAGGTCTACGAATATCATCCAGCCGCCCGTGTGGGGGGGAAGCATTCATATTGTACAACGCAGGAACTATCCCCTTAATTGGTGTTCCAGGTGTGCTGCCTGGAGCATCCAATTCCATAACGACTGTACCATACCGTCTGCCGTCAGCGTCGTTCGGCACCGCGCTCTGCAGGGGCGGGAATCCCAAAAACAGAGTCCCGTGCAAGGAATGCCACAAGAGGTCTCATCCAGGTGTCCAATAACTGGATGAAAAAAAACGAGAAGCTGGAATGGTGTCATGGCCTCTGGCTGCGATCGGCCGCATACCTCGGAAGCTAAGACCGCGACCTCCTGGCGCTCCCTTTCCTCTCGCTCTCGTTCCTCCTGTTCCCTCTGTTTTCTCTCCTCCTCCTCCTTCTCCCTCTCCTCCTTCTCCTTCTCCTCCAGCGCTCTTTTCTCCAGCTCCTTTGCCTTCTCCTCTTTCTCGCGATCAACCACAGGCTCGTCCTTCTCCTCCTCGTCTACTTCCTTGGGCTTCTCGATCTTCGCCGCTTGCGAAATGCTACCCTTGCCAGACGCGTCCAGTGCAACAGGAGGTCCCTGCGGGGCACCAGTCTTGACATCGATCGGGGCTGCCAGCGGGATGTTGTTGTCTTCCGCTGTGAATTCGATCGTTTCCACAACAACAAAGTCGTGCCAGTCGATCTGAGCCATCTGATCTTTCTCCTCTTTCTCCTCCTCCTCCCTGTGAGCTCGCTTCTCCTCCTCCTGCTCGTCCCACGCGAACCGCGACATGGCTTTATCTAGGATATCCTGCGGACTCTCTGCGAATTTGGTCAACTTGTCGATCTCATCCTTGTTGGGCATCAAGCACTTTGTGTAAGCGTCCACAAGGGACGTAAAGTAGCCGAAAAGAGCATGCGTCGGCTTAAGGAAATCGAACTGCGGGTTGCGGCTCTCACGCTGCGTCAGGCCTATAAGGAACTTCTGGCCGTTCCGAGCCACAAACTGTGCGGTGAGCTTGATGATGTCCATATCCATCGGGGCAATGTAAGGGTGGCTGACGACGTACTGGTCTGGCGGCGGCGGCTTGGCAACCTACCAGGGCACAAGCCAAAGCCTCCCCCAGAACAAGAAGTGAACAGAAGAAGGGAGCGTGAAAAGGCACGCTCAGAGGTTGAGGACTGAGAGCGACGTGCAACGGAGTGCTCCCCGTCGGGTGACCGGCTTCAGTTTCGGTTCACGTCGCGCTCGCGGGCGAGTCGAAGCTGCGCGAGTGCGCGAGAGATCCCGCCCTAGTTGGGGGCATGTCACGCCAGTGTCCCCCCCCCAGGTGAGCCCACTTTTGGTCAGTTTTGGAGGTCTCCTCTTCGGCCTTTGTTGGGACACTCCTGGGCTGCACTGGGGTCTTTTAAGGCTGGTGATTGGGGGCCTGGTGATGGTCTGGGGCCCGTACTGCGGCCCTCGCAGGCCGTCTTCTGAGTCTCCTGGGCCGGCGCGCGTTCCCGTGACTGTCCCTGGCCCGGCGCATGCTTCTCCGCTCTGCGGTTGCTCCACCGCTGTCCAGCGCGTTCGTCCCGCAGAAGGTCCCGCGCGGCGGTCCCGTCGTGCGATATCGTCCCGCGGCCACCCCGCGCGCGGATGGCCCGCTGAGCTGTCCTGTGCAAGTGTCCAGTGAGGTTGTCCCGCGGTTGTCCCGTGCGGTTTGCCCGGCACAGATGTGCCGCTTTCCTGGGACTCGACCAACAGCGAGGTAGCTGGATATATCCGCCACCGTGCCGCGAGGCACGAGTTGGAGTGCCGCTGCATGAGAAGCGGTAGGCGTCCAAGTGGCCACCCCCCTGAAAATGGGATTCGACTGAGACATCCTCATAGGGCAGCTGCCCTACCATGCACGAGCACAGACACCGTAGAGTTGGAGTGCCCTATGGTCCCTGGAAGATCTCAGTCCTCAGGATTGAATATGGAGTGGCCTGGACCCTGAATTCTCAATTTTCCGAAGTTCTCGGCGTGCCTCCCGCGATTCCCTGGCGTTTCCCGCATGCTTTTTCAGAACCACGAGCGCCCCAACACGGGCCAAGAGGGCCCCAAGTGGTTTCCGACCTACAATCCAGACAAGGTCGCGGGATGGGCCGAAGGCCGGAGTTCCGCCGACCCCTGTTGGTTTGCCACTGGGGCACACGGCGTGCCCAATGTTAGGTAGGTGTTGGTCCTTTTGAAAAGGCTCCCACGGCCCTTCGGCCAAACCCGCTGGCCACCCAGAGGGACGCGCAAGGACACGCGGAAAACTCTCCTCCACAAAGATGGCCTCCAAGACGAAGAAGACGGCTTCCAAGACGGCTGAGGAGGGCCCGAGGCGGCCCCAAGACCCATTTAACACGGCCAAGATGGCTCCGAGTCAGCCCAAGATGCCCTCCAGACGGCCGACGAGGCCCCCAAGACGTACCAAGAGGGCTCCAAGAGCACCTCCAGGAGGACAAAGCCATTGATGTTGCTTTACTTGTTCAGTGTTTTTACATTTTCGCCTCTTCGGCCTTTCGACGCTCCAAGACGGCCCCATAGGCCCCAACATCGCCCCAAAACAGCCAAAGAGGCCTTCACGAGGCCCGCAATACAGCCCAAGAGGGCCACAAGACGGCTCCAAGGGCCTGCTAGACGGCCCCGGAACGGCCCGCTTGATTTCCATGACTGCATTAAAGCGCCCAAACAAGGGAGCCGCGATTGCCCAGACAAAGCCCCAAGACGACATCCAAAGGACAAGAAGTCCCGTAGAGGCCCCCAGGACGACCCGAAGGGGCTCGTCAGCAGGAGCCCACAAAAAGCTCACAGGAAGCCCCCAAGGGGCCCCTAGAGGGCCTCGAGAGGCCTCATATCCTCCTTTCCCTCCTCCTCCTCCTCCGCCTCCTCCTCCTGTTGTTCCTCCTCCTCCTCCACTTCCTCCTCCTCCTCCTTTTCCTCTTCCTCCTCCTCCTCCTCATCATCAGCATCATCATCACCAACATCGTCATCATCAACATCATCATCAGCATCATCAGCATCGTCCTCAAAACTTTCCTGCAGTTGTTATGTATGTTTCTTATGGGCTCCAAGAGTCCCCCCACGGGGGTCAACATTTTTTTGAGAGCTCATAGTCCGATAAGTGTATTGATTGGAATATCCCATGACATGGCCGAATACAATGCTACAGCACAAAGGATACTGTTCAAAGCAACTGTCAAGTGGCATTGAAACTGTCAACACAAATGAAACTGCCCAATTCTTTGGCGGATCAGATGGCCGCCTCAGCCGTTATCATCTATACTTGGAAAGCTGATAACGCCCCATGCCACACGATGCCCCTGTATCCACATACATTTGTTTGCCACTCCCCGTTTGTATTTTCGCGGCAGACAACCACAAAAGCTGCTGCGCTGGATGTCCCGTCAAAGCCGCCGTCGGCATATGTTTGAATACTGCGTCTTGCCTGAATTGTTTGAAACGAGGAGCTGCACGTCCCATGTGTCCATGTCCGCCCAGTCATCGAGTACCCACTTGCACACAGCATCCGCCTGCTCATTGAACTCGCGCGGCAACCCATCACGGCATTCCAGCTGAGGTAGCCAGCCGCGTGTCCGAAATACTTTGAAAACATGTTTTTATGTATATATATATATATATATATATATATATATATGTAGAAAAAAAAACAACAACAAAAAAAAAAAAAAAAAAAAAAAAAAAAAAAAAAAAAAAAAAAAAAAAACGCAGTCGTGCACCCATGAACTCGCAGAAAAGATAGTCAAACCGTCGCGCGAAGTCCATCAAGCCCGCCGCGGAATCGCTGTCTGTCAACGACGAATTCGAATTGGGGCTTCCCGCATTTCTGCAACCACAACCTATCCCGTTGAAGCCGCAACACCGGACTGAATGCCCGTTCGCCCGAGCTCACGCTTCTGGTCCCAAGTGGTTTTCGACATGCGCTGAGCGCCCCACGCAGGGTCGCGGGAACTTGAAGTGAGCGCACGCCTCCGTCATGAAGACCTGCGAGTGCACATTCCAAGCAGCGGCCGTGTCACAGTGGTCCGAAATGCCTCGCCAGCGGATGCCCCAAACCCTAGCAAAACATGTCGACATTGGACTTGCTGCCCACTGCGGGAGTGAACCAGTCCGTCTTGTCGCTTGCGCGTGCATCCAAAAATGTCCTCGCTCGTTCCCCAAAGTAGCCAGTCGCTATCTCTGCCCATGGATGCGAGGCGCGCCGCCGTCGCCCTCTCGCGCCACACCTGAACGTACACTCTCTGAGAGTAGCAACTTGCATCTGCCTGCGCGTGCAACGCTGCACCCGTTGCTCTAGGCACACGGTCGTTCTCTTCAAACATCCCATCCTACCTTCGCCGAACGACGCCGCGAGGCGGAATGCGATGCGAGAGAATCTCCGCGCCCAGCGAACAGCCCCCCAGAACAGCAAACCCGCCAAATGAATGACAGACCATAGAAACAGAGCTACTGCCCTGGAAGCAGACCTGACAGCGCGCAACTTCAGGCACACGGGCGCCCCCCTTCGACGCCGCGGACGCACGCAAAGAGCGCCTGTTCGCCAGATGGGAACCTGGCCCGCATAAGTGCCTGCACGGCGCTGCCTGCGTCGACGAGGCCACCCAAAGCAACCAGAAAAAGAACGCATTGCATACCTGAGCGTCGCGTCTCCAACAGTGACTTTCCAATGCCCGCTGCCAGGCTGCAACTTCTCGACAAAAGGCTCGAGAGAACGCGGCTTCCGTGTCGGACCACTCCCCCGCGAATTAGCGTCGTGACCGCCTCGATCATGAACTTCGCCCGGCCGAGGTTGTCTGCCAAGAAAACAATTTGTCGACGAGATTCAAGCAGGCGCGTCTCCGGCCGCTCGCCCCCAGATGAAAGCCGGCCGGAATGCCGCCGCGCGCCCTCCACGTAGTCGAAGACGGCGTCGAACATGTTCACGAGTATGTTCGGCTCTTGTTTTCCGCCTGTCTGCAAAGCCCTGCCCATCAGACCTCGGTCGGAGTCTGCCACGCCCAGCATGCGCAGCGCGCCCCGCGCACCTGCCACCCCTTGCGATCGCAAGCACCTGGCGTGGAGAAACTCCACCCTGCTGAAACACCTCCAAAGCGGAATCGTGCTCAACATAGTGTGAATCCGTCAACACATCCTGCGAAGCCAATGCTGAAATCGCGTCGCCCCATCTCCGCGCATATGAACTCTTCAAATAAAACACCAAAAATGTCGTCTACTGATGCGGAGCGCTTGCACCCACAGCTGCCCGCGCGCTGCCGCTCGCGCGCGCCGCGGGCCACAACGGCGCACATCGCTGCAGAATACCAATCACGTGAATGGTCGATGCGCCCTAAACACCGGCACTGGTTGAAAAATTGCGAATGGGAAGTTGCCGCGATTGCTCCGAGCACGAACTCCCCCCGCGTAGCCCCCGCCTCTCCCCGATCAACGCCCATCCAACGACGGCACAAGAAGACATGGATGCGGCGCCTCATCAAGTGGGGCACAAAAACCCGAGGCCACCCTCAGAGCTCGCCCGGCCCGTTCGCGGGCTCAGCAGCCAGTCTCGCCAACTGACCTGCGAAACTAACGACATCTGGCAAGCCTCTGGCGCGCCCATCCAATCGGTTTGCTTCTGCTGCAGCGAGGCAATTATCCACGATCTCGGAAAACCTTCGTTTCGTTCTGGCGCCGCAGCAAGCTTCGCCCCACCAGGATTGGTCAAAGAATGTCGCCACGCAGCGCGGTCAGCAGTAGATCCCCCACACACACACACACACACACACACCAAGCGTTAAGACTACGGGCGGTTGCTGGTTCAAAACCTTCGCGTCTTTGCCGAGCACAGTCAAAACGCGCTTGCTCATGGCCATTTTCTGCCCGGCCGGGCCAAGCCAAGCCAAGACGCGCACCATCGGCCCGGAGGCCGCCCCGAGACGGGCGGCGCGGGGGCGCCTCGGCGCCTTCAGTTCTTGAAGATCAGGAATTTCTCAGTCGTCTCCAACCAGCGCTTGAAAGGCCGGCCCGGTCGCCGAACGCGGCGGTCAGGATTCCAGTCGAAGGCAAAACGTGCCCAAGATCGTGTC